CACAGGTCCCAGAGGTCCCAGAGGTCTCACGGGTCCCACAGGTACAGGTCCCACAGGCTCGCCCCACATTCCCCACAGGTCCAACGGTTGTCCCGCAGGTCTCGCAGGTCTTGCAAGTCCCGCAGGTCCGACAGGTCGCACAGGTCCCACATGTCCCACCAGTCCCGCATGTCCCGCAGGTCCCAAAGGACTCACAGGCCCCACGGGTCCCTCATGTCCCACAGGCCGCACAGGTCCCTTCAGGCCCAGAGCTCCCACAGGTGCCACATGTCCCACAGGTCTCACGGGTCCAACAGGCCACAGGCCACATATCACCCACGGGTCCCGCAAGTGCCCACGTCCACACATCCCACTTGCCCCACAGGTCCAGCAGGTCCCACAGGTCACACAGGCTCCACAGGCCCCGCAGGCCCCACAGGGCCCACAGGTCCTGCAGGTTCGCAGGTCCCACAGGTCCAACAGGTTCCACATGTCCCACGGGTCTCACAGGACCCACATGCCCTACAGGTCCCACCGGTGTTCCCGCAGGTCGTACAGGCTGCACATGTCTCACAGTTCCCACAAGCCCCACAGGCCCCGCAGGCCCCACAGGTGCCACAGGTCCAGCAGGTCCCACGGGTCCCACAGGTGCCACAGGACCCACAAGTCTCACAACTTCCACAGGTCCCCCACAGGTCTCACAGGTCCCACAGGTCCCCCACAGGTCTCACGGGTCCCACAGGTCCCACAGGCCCCACATACCCCACGAGTCCCACAGGTCGCGCAGGTCCATATGTCCCAGCGGTCCCACAGATCCCACAGGCCACGAGGGCCCCACAGGTCTTGCGTAGTAGGGTGTTTTGCTAAGGTAATTGTGGGTCGAGCTCGACGTCAGGGAAGCGCGCGCTTCTCTCGGGCCTCCACTGCGCTTACCTTTCCTTCCAACGGCGGGTTCGCGTCCCGCCGCCGGCGTTCGACGTTGAACGCCGCCGGCGACCCAGAATCGGTCGATCTTGAACGATCTGACGATTCGGGAACGGCCGATCGGTCAAGGTTGAGCGCTCCCGCGGTGTCAGAGACCAACCCCCCTCCCAACGGCAGGTTCGCGTCCCGCCGCCGGCATTCAACGTTGAACGCCGCCAGCGACCCAGAATCGGTCGATCTTGAACAATCTGACGGTTCGGGAACGGCCGATCGGTCAAGGTTGAGCGCTCCCCGCGGCGTCAGAGACCAACGCCGGAGTCGACACGACGCGAATTTGCCCATGCTCCTCCCGCTCTTTCCCCCCCTGCTCCTCCCCTGCGCCGTGAGGGAAACGGGTCCTGGACGTCGGGGATTTTCGCCAGGGCCGCTGCTTCCATCCCTACTGCCACTTTGACTCGAGCGCTTTCAGCCTCAGCCCGCTGGCGCCTCAGCCGCCGCAGCCCCGTCGGAAGCAGCTACGGGCGCCATGTTCCGCTCCGCGTGCCTCCTGGCCGCAGGGTCGCTCGTGCTCTACGGCGCGAGCGGCTTCGTGTCCCCGGCGCAGCCCACGGCCGTCTCGAGCGCGGCCCGCAGCCTGTCCGCGTCGGCGCTGGCCGCCGCCGAGGAGGCCGCGCCGGCCTCCAGCGGCAGCGCCGCGTGGAGCCCGCTGGCCATCGGGGCAGCCCTCGGGCTGATGGTCGCAGTGATGGGCGGCCGGCCGGCGCTTGCGGCGGACCTCGAGAACGGCGAGAGCGTCTTCCTGGGCAACTGCGCGGCGTGCCACGCGGGCGGGAACAACAGCGTGGTGGCGGAGAAGACCCTGAGGAAGGCGGCCATCGAGCAGTACTTGACGGGCGGCTACAACGCGGCCGCCATCAAGACTCAGGTGACGAACGGCAAGGGCTCCATGCCAGCGTTCGGCGACAAGCTGGGCCCCGACGACATCGACGACGTGGCGGCCTACGTCCTCGACCAGTCCACCAAGTGGTGAGCGCCGAGAGCCCACGCCCGGGACCAGGTGCAGCCAGTGGGCATCGTCCGCCGTAGGGAGGGAGTGCACTGGCGTCTTCGGGCTGGCGACCTCGGCTTCTTTGATTGTTCAGCAGAGCATCCATTTTTTTCAGCGCGGAATTCTGTACGTATCCCCTTCGCGCTCGCGTGTGCCAGGCTGGCGGGCTGACGTGCAGGCGGCCGTTGCCTGCGGCCAGCATCTCGTCTGCTGGATAAAGGTCTTTATGCAGGAGAGCTGGGATAAAGACAGGGCCGCTGCTTCCATCCCTAGCCGCTTTCTGACCGTCCCGGACCCCTCTTGGGGTGCGCTCTCTGTCTCTAGATTTTCGACGCGGATCTGGCCGCGGTGACGGAGCCCCCAGAGGCCGAAAGCGGGCGAATCGGCCGCCCTTGAACCTGGATCCTCGAAGCTCGATCGTCAAAGTCCAGGGCCGTTGTCCTCCACAATGACTCTTGTCCGCCCCTTGGCCTGGATCCTCGGAGCTCAGTCCTCAAAGCCCAGGGCTCGGCGCACGTACGGTGCAAGACGTGCGTGCTGCTGGCGCGGCCTCCTTGTGGGGCCTGGCCTCTGAGGCACATGGCTGCGGAGGCGCGGAAGCGCCGCTGCAAGCGCTAAACTGAGTACACACTCGGACGGGGCGTTCCAGAGCGCTCTCAGAGCGTCTCAGGACACCGTGAGAAGGCCGAAACTCTCGGGAGGCATCCTCCGGAGCACCCTGCAGTTGCGAATAAGAGTGAGGGGGCGGCCGCGGGGTGGGCCGCGGGCGGGTCGCGGGTGGGTCGCGGGCGGGTTGCGGGCGAGTCGCGGGGTGGGCCGCGGGCGGGTCGCGGGCGGGTCGCGGGCGGGTCGCGGGCGAGTCGCGGGCGGGTCGCGGGCGGGTCGTGGGCCGGTCGCGGGCCGGATCGCGAGAGGGACGACGAGTTCAACGCAACGTAGCGCAACAAGAATCCGCACCGCGAAGCGCCTCCTCAGCCACGCACCCAGAGACTGGATGATCGTTCGGCCCCTCACGCTGATCATATTCGTATTGTCATACCAGGTGAGGAATTCGTATGTTCCCTTGGGTTGGCCACAGTCTCAGAGAAAACGGAGTTGTAGCCAGCTCAAGGAGAGCCTCGGGAGGGTGGGAAGGTGCGGCTGCGACCGAGCGCCCGTAAATCCAATCCTCAATATATCTAGACTGGTGCTTCGCAGGAAGCTGGCTCTGCAATTTCTCTCGCCTCAATGCCGGCCACAAGACGGGGGGGAGTGGAAGCCCGAGACCTCCCAGTCCGGCAGCCGTTTCGCATGAGATCTCTCTGCAAATCTTGCAGGAATCGTGTTCTCGCCTCCATGCTGGCTACAATTTGATCATCGAACGGCAACTGTCCCGCAGGTCGTACAGGCCGCACAGGTCCCGCAGGTCTCGCACGTCTCACAGGTCCCGCAGGTCCCACAGGTTCCACAGGTTCCACAGGTCCCAGAGGTCCCAGAGGTTTCACGGGTCCCACAGGAACAGGTCCCACATGCCCCACATGCCCCACATGCCCCACATGTCCAACGGTTGCACGGGTTCCATTGGTTTCAGCGGTCCCACAGGTCCCACAGGCCACACGGGCCCCACAGGTCTTGTGTTGTTACGAACGTGTTTTGCTGGCATAGTCAATTGCGGGTCGAGCTCGAAGTCAGGGAAGCGCGCACAGGTCCCAGATGCCCCACAGGTCCCGCAGGTCGAACAGGCCGCACAGGTCCCTCCAGATCTCGCAGGTAATTCCAACATGTCCCACAGGTATCGCAGGTCCAGCAGGTCTCGCAGGTCCCGCAGGTCTCAAAGGACTCACAGGCCCCATGGGCCCCACAGGTTCCACAGGCCGCACAGGTCCCGTCAGGCCCCACAGGTCCCGCGGGCCTCACATATCCCACCAGTCGCACAGGTCCAGGAGTTCCCACAGCTGCAGCATCCACAGGCCCTACAGGTGCTACAGGGCCCACAGGTCCCGCAGGTTCCACAGGTCCCACAGGTCCCACCGGTTCCACATGTCCCACGGGTCTCGCAGGGCCCACAGGCCCTACAGGTCCCACAGGTTCCCGCAAGCCGTACAGGCTGAACGTGTCCCACAGTTCCCACAAGCCCCGCAGGCCCCGTGTGCCCCACATGTTCCACAGGTCCAGCAGGTCCCACAGGTCCCACAGGTCCCACAGTCCCACAGGCTCGCAGGCCGCACAGGTCCCACAGGTCCCACAGGTCCCGCAGGTCCAGCAGGTTGAACAGGCCGCACAGGTCCCACAGGTCCCACAGGTCCCACAAGTTCCACAGGTCCCACAGATCCCCCACAGGCCTCACGGGTCCCACAGGTCCCACAGGCCCCACATACCCCACGAGTCCCACAGGTCGCGCAGGTCCCATATGTCCCAGCGGTCCCACAGATCCCACAGGCCACGCGGGCCCCACAGGTCTTGCGTAGTACGGTGTTTTACTGGGGTAATTGTGGGTCGAGCTCGACGTCAGGGAAGCGCGCGGTTCTCTCGAGCCTCCACCGTGCTTCCCCCCTCCCAACGGCAGGTTCGCGTCCCGCCGCCGGCGTTCAACGTTGAACGCCGCCGGCGACCCAGAATCGGTCGATCTTGAACGATCTAACGATTCGGGAACGGCCGATCGGTCAAGGTTGAGCGCTCCCCGCGGTGTCAGAGACCAAGCCCCCTCCCAACGGCAGGTTCGCGTCCCGCCGCCGGCATTCAACGTTGAACGCCGCCAGCGACCCAGAATCGGTCGATCTTGAACGATCTGACGGTTCGGGAACGGCCGATCGGTCAAGCTTGAGCGCTCCCCGCGGTATCAGAGACCAACGCCAGGGTCGACACCACGTGAATTTGCCCTAGCTCCTCCCGCTCGTTCCCCCTCCTGCTCCTCCCCTGCGCCGTGAGGGAAACGGTTCCTGGACGTCGGGGATTTTCGCCAGGTCCGCTGCTTCCATCCCTACTGCCATTTTGTCTCGAGCGCTTTCAGCCTCAGCCCGCTGGCGCCTCAGCCGCCGCCACCGCCCCGTCGGAAGCAACCACGGGCGCCATGTTCCGCTCCGCGTGCCTCCTGGCCGCCGGGTCGCTCGTGCTCTACGGCGCGAGCAGCTTCGTGTCCCCGGCGCAGCCCACGGCCATCTCGAGCGCGGCCCGCAGCCTGTCCGCGTCGGCGCTGGCCGCCACCGAAGAGGCCACGCCGGCCTCCAGCGGCAGCGCCGCGTGGAGCCCGCTGGCCATCGGGGCAGCCCTCGGGCTGATGGTCGCAGTGATGGGCGGCCGGCCGGCGCTTGCGGCGGACCTCGAGAACGGCGAGAGCGTCTTCCTGGGCAACTGCGCGGCGTGCCACGCGGGCGGAAACAACAGCGTGGTGGCGGAGAAGACCCTGAGGAAGGCGGCCATCGAGCAGTACTTGACGGGCGGCTACAACGCGGCCGCCATCAAGACTCAGGTGACGAACGGCAAGGGCTCCATGCCAGCGTTCGGCGACAAGCTGGGCCCCGACGACATCGACGACGTGGCGGCCTATGTCCTCGACCAGTCCACCAAGTGGTGAGCGCCGAGCCCACGCCCGGGGCCAGGTGCAGCCAGTGGGCATCGTCCGCCAGATTCCTGACCCGAGTAGGGTGGGAGTGCACTGGCGTCTTCGGGCTGGCGACCTCGGCGTTTATGATTGTTCAGCAGAGCATCCATTTTTTTCAGCGCGGAATTCTGTACGTATCCCCTTCGCGCTCGCGTGTGCTAGGCTGGCGGGCTGACGTGCAGGCGGCCGTTGCCTGCGGCCAGCATCTCGTCTGCTGGATAAAGGTCTTCATGCAGGAGAGCTGGGATAAAGACAGGGCCGCTGCTTCCATCCCGAGCCGCTTTCTGACGGTCCCGGACCCCTCTTGGGGTGCGCTCTCTGTCTCTAGACTCGACGCGGAACCAGCCGCGGTGACGGAGCCCCCAGAGGCCAAAAGTGGGCGAATCGGCCGCCCCTGAACCTGGATCCTCGAAGCTCGATCGTCAAAGTCCAGGGCCGTTGTCCGCCCCTTGGCCTGGATCCTCGGAGCTCAGTCCTCAGGATCCAGGGCTCGGCGCACGTACGGTGCAAGACGTGCGTGCTGCTGGCGTGGCCCCCTTGTGGGGCCTGGCCTCTGAGGCACATGGCTGCGGAGGCGGGGGAGGCGCCGCTGCAAGCCCGCCCACCCCGCCTGTGCTAAACTGAGCAGATACTCGGACGGGGCCAGCACGAGGATAACTCCACTCCAGAGCGTTCCAGAGCGCCCTCAGAGCGTCTCAGAACACCGTGAGAAGGCCGCGACTCTTGGGAGGCATCCTCTGGAGCACCCCGCAGTTGCGAATAAGAGTGAGGGGGCGGCCGCGGGGTGGGTCGCGGGCGGGCCGCGGGCGGGTCGTGGGCGGGTCGCGGGCGAGTCGCGGGGTGGGTCGCGGGTGGGTCGTGGGCGGGTCGCGGGCGGATCGCGGGCGGGTCGCGGGCGGGTCGCGGGCGGGTAGTGGGCCGGTCGCGGGCCGGATCGCGAGAGGGACGACGAGTTCAACGCAACGTAGCGCAACAAGAATCCGCACCGTGAAGCGTCTTTTCAGCCACGCACCCAGGGACAGTGAATCATCGTTCAGCCCCTCACTCTGATCATATTCGTATAGTCGTACCAGGTGATGAAATCGTATGTTCCCTTGGGTTGGTCACAGTCTGAGAGGAAACGCAGTTGCAGCCAGCGCAAAGGGAGCCCTGGGAGGTGGGGAAGCTGGGGCTGCGATTATAGCAGACCGAGCGCTCCCACAGCACATCCTAAATATATCTAAACTGGTGCTTCGCGGGAAACTGGCTCTGCGATGTCTTACGCCTCAATGCCGGCTACAAGACGTGGGGGAGTGGGAGCCCGAGACCGCCCAGTCCGGCAGCCGTTTCGCATGAGATCTCTCAGCAACTCATGCAACGTAGCTCAATGCTGGCTACAATTAGCTTTTCGGACGGCAGCGGTCCCGCAGGTCTCGCAATCCTCACGGGTCTCGCAGGTCCCACAGGTCCCACAGGTTCCACAGGCCCCACAGGTGTCCCACCAGTCCCGCAGGTCCCGAAGGACTCACAGGCCCCACGGGTCCCTCATGTCCCACAGGCCGCACAGGTCCCTTCAGGCCCCACAGGTCCCGCGGGCCTCACATATCCCACACTGGTCGCACAGGTCCAAGAGCTCCCACAGGTGCCACATGTCCCACAGGTCTCACGGGTCCTACAGGCCACAGGCCACATATCACCCACAGGTCCTACAAGTGCCCACGTCCACAGATCCGACTTGCCCCACAGGTCCAGCAGGTCCCACAGGTCACACAGGCCCCACAGGCCCCGCAGGCCCCACAGGGCCCACAGGTCCTGCAGGTTCCGCAGGTCCCACAGGTCCAACAGGTTCCACATGTCCCACGGGTCTCACAGGACCCACACGCCCTACAGATCCCAAAGGTTCCCGCAGGTCGTACAGGCTGCACATGTCTCACGGTTCCCACAAGCCCCACAGGCCCCGCAGGCCCCACAGGTGCCACAGGTCCAGCAGGTCCCACAGGTCCCACAGGTGCCACAGGACCCACAAATCTCACAACTTCCACAGGTCCCCCACAGGTCTCACAGGTCTCACAGGTCCCCCACAGGTCTCACGGGTCCCACAGGTCCCACAGGCCCCAAATACCCCACGAGTCCCACAGGTCGCGCAGGTCCATATGTCCCAGCGGTCCCACAGATCCCACAGGCCACGAGGGCCCCACAGGTCTTGCGTAGTAGGGTGTTTTGCTAAGGTAATTGTGGGTCGAGCTCGACGTCAGGGAAGCGCGCGGTTCTCTCGGGCCTCCACTGCGCTTACCCCCCCTTCCAACGGCAGGTTCGCGTCCCGCCGCCGGCGTTCGACGTTGAACGCCGCCGGCGACCCAGAATCGGTCGATCTTAAATGATCTGACGAGATCGGTCAAGGTTGAGCGCCCCCCGCGGCGTCAGAGACCAACGCCGGTGTCGACACGACGCGAATTTGCCCTTGCTCCTCCCGCTCTTTCCCCCCCTGCTCCTCTCCTGCGCCGTGAGGGAAACGGGTCCTGGACGTCGGGGATTTTCGCCAGGGCCGCTGCTTCCATCCCTACTGCCACCTTGACTCGAGCGCTTTCAGCCTCAGCCCGCTGGCGCCTCAGTCGCCGCAGCCCCGTCGGAAGCAGCCACGGGCGCCATGTTCCGCTCCGCGTGCATCCTGGCCGCCGGGTCGCTCGTGCTCTACGGCGCGAGCGGCTTCGTGTCCCCGGCGCAGCCCACGGCCGTCTCGAGCGCGGCCCGCAGCCTGTCCGCGTCGGCGCTGGCCGCCGCCGAGGAGGCCGCGCCGGCCTCCAGCAGCAGCGCCGCGTGGAGCCCGCTGGCCATCGGGGCAGCCCTCGGGCTGATGGTCGCAGTGATGGGCGGCCGGCCGGCGCTTGCGGCGGACCTCGAGAACGGCGAGAGCGTCTTCCTGGGCAACTGCGCGGCGTGCCACGCGGGCGGAAACAACAGCGTGGTGGCGGAGAAGACCCTGAGGAAGGCGGCCATCGAGCAGTACTTGACGGGCGGCTACAACGCGGCCGCCATCAAGACTCAGGTGACGAACGGCAAGGGCTCCATGCCAGCGTTCGGCGACAAGCTGGGCCCCGACGACATCGACGACGTGGCGGCCTATGTCCTCGACCAGTCCACCAAGTGGTGAGCGCCGAGAGCCCACGCCCGGGGCCAGGTGCAGCCAGTGGGCATCGTCCGCCGTAGGGAGGGAGTGCACTGGCGTCTTCGGGCTGGCGACCCCGGCTTCTTTGATTGTTCAGCAGAGCATCCATTTTTTTCAGCGCGGAATTCTTTACGTATCCCCTTCGCGCTCGCGTGTGCCAGGCTGGCGGGCTGACGTGCAGGCGGCCGTTGCCTGCGGCCAGCATCTCGTCTGCTGGATAACTGTGTTTATTCATTCAGGAGGGCTTGGAAAAAGACAGTGCCGCTGCTTCCATCCCGAGCCGCTTTCTGACGGTCCCAGGCCGCGGTGACGGAGCCCCCAGAGGCCAAAAGTGGGCGAATCGGCTGCCCCTGAACCTGGATCCTCGAAGCTCGATCGTCAAAGTCCAGGGCCGTTGTCCGCCCCTTGGCCTGGGTCCTCGGGCTCGGCGCACGTACGGTGCAAGACGTGCGTGCTGCTGGCGTGGCCCCCTTGTGGGGCCTGGCCTCTGAGGCACATAGCTGCGGAGGCGGGGGAGGCGCCGCTGCAAGCCCGCCCACCCCGCCTGTGCTAAACTGAGCACATACTCGGACGGGGCCAGCACGAGGATAACTCCACTCCAGAGCGTTCCAGAGCGCTCTCAGAGCGTCTCAGAACACCGTGAGAAGGCCGCGACTCTCGGGAGGCATCCTCTGGAGCACCCCGCAGTTGCGAATAAGAGTGATGGGGCGGCCGCGGGGTGGGTCGCGGGCGGGTCGCGGGTGGGTCGTGGGCGGGTCGCGGGCGAGTCGCGGGGTGGGTCGCGGGCGGGTCGCGGGCGGGTCGCGGGCGGGTCGCGGGCGAGTCGCGGGCGGGTAGTGGGCCGGTCGCGGGCCGGATCGCGAGAGGGACGACGAGTTCAACGCAACGTAGCGCAACAAGAATCCGCACCGTGGAGCGTCTTTTCAGCCACGCACCCAGGGACAGTGAATGATCGTTCAGCCCCTCACGCTGATCATATTCGTATAGTCGTACCAGGTGATGAAATCGTATGTTCCCTTGGGTTGGCCACAGTCTGAGAGGAAACGCAGTTGTAGCCAGCGCAAAGGGAGCCCTGGGAGGTGGGGAAGGTGGGCTGCGTTTACAGCAGACCGAGCGCCCTCACAGCACATCCTAAATATATCTAAACTGGTGCTTCGCGGGAAACTAGCTCTGCGATGCCTCTCGCCTCAATGCCGGCTACAAGACGTGGGGGAGTGGGAGCCCGAGACCTCCCAGTCCGGCAGCCGTTCTCGCCTCAATGTTGGCTACAATTAGCTTTTCGGACGGCAGCGGTCCCGCAGGTCGTACAGGCCGCACAGGTCCCGCAGGTCTCGCAATTCTCACGGGTCTCGCAGGTCCCACAGGTTCCACAGGTTCCACAGGCCCCAGAGGTCCCAGAGGTCCCATAGGCTCGCCCCACAGTCCCCACAGGTCCTACGGTTGTCCCGCAGGTCTAGCAGGTCTTGCAAGTCCCGCAGGTCCGACAGGTCGCACAGGTCCCACGTGTCCCACCAGTCCTGCAGGTCCCGAAGGACTCACAGGCCCCACGGGTCCCTCATGTCCCACAGGCCGCACAGGTCCCTTCAGGCCCCACAGGTCCCGCGGGCCTCACATATCCCACACTGGTCGCACAGGTCCAAGAGCTCCCACAGGTGCCACATGTCCCACAGGTCTCACGGGTCCAACAGGCCACAGGCCACATATCACCCACAGGTCCCACAAGTGCCCACGTCCACAGATCCGACTTGCCCCACAGGTCCAGCAGGTCCCACAGGTCACACAGGCCCCACAGGCCCCGCAGGCCCCACAGGGCCCACAGGTCCTGCAGGTTCCGCAGGTCCCACAGGCCCAACAGGTTCCACATGTCCCACGGGTCTCACAGGACCCACACGCCCTACAGATCCCAAAGGTTCCCGCAGGTCGTACAGGCTGCACATGTCTCACGGTTCCCACAAGCCCCACAGGCCCCGCAGGCCCCACAGGTGCCACAGGTCCAGCAGGTCCCACAGGTCCCACAGGTGCCACAGGACCCACAAGTCTCACAACTTCCACAGGTCCCCCACAGGTCTCACAGGTCCCACAGGTCCCCCACAGGTCTCACGGGTCCCACAGGTCCCACAGGCCCCAAATACCCCACGAGTCCCACAGGTCGCGCAGGTCCATATGTCCCAGCGGTCCCACAGATCCCACAGGCCACGAGGGCCCCACAGGTCTTGCGTAGTAGGGTGTTTTGCTAAGGTAATTGTGGGTCGAGCTCGACGTCAGGGAAGCGCGCGGTTCTCTCGGGCCTCCACTGCGCTTACCCCCCCTTCCAACGGCAGGTTCGCGTCCCGCCGCCGGCGTTCGACGTTGAACGCCGCCGGCGACCCAGAATCGGTCGATCTTAAATGATCTGACGAGATCGGTCAAGGTTGAGCGCCCCCCGCGGCGTCAGAGACCAACGCCGGGGTCGACACGACGCGAATTTGCCCTTGCTCCTCCCGCTCTTTCCCCCCCTGCTCCTCCCCTGCGCCGTGAGGGAAACGGGTCCTGGACGTCGGGGATTTTCGCCAGGGCCGCTGCTTCCATCCCTACTGCCACCTTGACTCGAGCGCTTTCAGCCTCAGCCCGCTGGCGCCTCAGCCGCCGCAGCCCCGTCGGAAGCAGCCACGGGCGCCATGTTCCGCTCCGCGTGCCTCCTGGCCGCCGGGTCGCTCGTGCTCTACGGCGCGAGCGGCTTCGTGTCCCCGGCGCAGCCCACGGCCGTCTCGAGCGCGGCCCGCAGCCTGTCCGCGTCGGCGCTGGCCGCCGCCGAGGAGGCCGCGCCGGCCTCCAGCGGCAGCGCCGCGTGGAGCCCGCTGGCCATCGGGGCAGCCCTCGGGCTGATGGTCGCAGTGATGGGCGGCCGGCCGGCGCTTGCGGCGGACCTCGAGAACGGCGAGAGCGTCTTCCTGGGCAACTGCGCGGCGTGCCACGCGGGCGGAAACAACAGCGTGGTGGCGGAGAAGACCCTGAGGAAGGCGGCCATCGAGCAGTACTTGACGGGCGGCTACAACGCGGCCGCCATCAAGACTCAGGTGACGAACGGCAAGGGCTCCATGCCAGCGTTCGGCGACAAGCTGGGCCCCGACGACATCGACGACGTGGCGGCCTATGTCCTCGACCAGTCCACCAAGTGGTGAGCGCCGAGAGCCCACGCCCGGGGCCAGGTGCAGCCAGTGGGCATCGTCCGCCGTAGGGAGGGAGTGCACTGGCGTCTTCGGGCTGGCGACCCCGGCTTCTTTGATTGTTCAGCAGAGCATCCATTTTTTTCAGCGCGGAATTCTGTACGTATCCCCTTCGCGCTCGCGTGTGCCAGGCTGGCGGGCTGACGTGCAGGCGGCCGTTGCCTGCGGCCAGCATCTCGTCTGCTGGATAACTGTGTTTATTCATTCAGGAGGGCTTGGAAAAAGACAGTGCCGCTGCTTCCATCCCGAGCCGCTTTCTGACGGTCCCAGGCCGCGGTGACGGAGCCCCCAGAGGCCAAAAGTGGGCGAATCGGCTGCCCCTGAACCTGGATCCTCGAAGCTCGATCGTCAAAGTCCAGGGCCGTTGTCCGCCCCTTGGCCTGGGTCCTCGGGCTCGGCGCACGTACGGTGCAAGACGTGCGTGCTGCTGGCGTGGCCCCCTTGTGGGGCCTGGCCTCTGAGGCACATAGCTGCGGAGGCGGGGGAGGCGCCGCTGCAAGCCCGCCCACCCCGCCTGTGCTAAACTGAGCACATACTCGGACGGGGCCAGCACGAGGATAACTCCACTCCAGAGCGTTCCAGAGCGCTCTCAGAGCGTCTCAGAACACCGTGAGAAGGCCGCGACTCTCGGGAGGCATCCTCTGGAGCACCCCGCAGTTGCGAATAAGAGTGAGGGGGCGGCCGCGGGGTGGGTCGCGGGCGGGTCGCGGGTGGGTCGTGGGCGGGTCGCGGGCGAGTCGCGGGGTGGGTCGCGGGCGGGTCGCGGGCGGGTCGCGGGCGGGTCGCGGGCGAGTCGCGGGCGGTCGCGGGCGGGTAGTGGGCCGGTCGCGGGCCGGATCGCGAGAGGGACGACGAGTTCAACGCAACGTAGCGCAACAAGAATCCGCACCGTGGAGCGTCTTTTCAGCCACGCACCCAGGGACAGTGAATGATCGTTCAGCCCCTCACGCTGATCATATTCGTATAGTCGTACCAGGTGATGAAATCGTATGTTCCCTTGGGTTGGCCACAGTCTGAGAGGAAACGCAGTTGTAGCCAGCGCAAAGGGACCCCGGGAGGTGGGGAAGGTGGGTCTGCGTTTACAGCAGACCGAGCGCCCTCACAGCACATCCTAACTATATCTAAACTGGTGTTTCGCGGGAAACTAGCTCTGCGATGCCTCTCGCCTCAATGCCGGCTACAAGACGTGGGGGAGTGGGAGCCCGAGACCTCCCAGTCCGGCAGCCGTTCTCGCCTCAATGTTGGCTACAATTAGCTTTTCGGACGGCAGCGGTCCCGCAGGTCGTACAGGCCGCACAGGTCCCGCAGGTCTCGCAATTCTCACGGGTCTCGCAGGTCCCACAGGTTCCACAGGTTCCACAGGCCCCAGAGGTCCCAGAGGTCCCAGAGGTCTCACGGGTCCCACAGGTACAGGTCCCACAGGCTCGCCCCACAGTCCCCACAGGTCCTACGGTTGTCCCGCAGGCCTCGCAGGTCTTGCAAGTCCCGCAGGTCCGACAGGTCGCACAGGTCCCACATGTCCCACCAGTCCCGCATGTCCCGCAGGTCCCAAAGGACTCACAGGCCCCACGGGTCCCTCATGTCCCACAGGCCGCACAGGTCCCTTCAGGCCCCACAGGTCCCGCGGGCCTCACATATCCCACTGGTCGCACAGGTCCAAGAGCTCCCACAGGTGCCACATGTCCCACAGGTCTCACAGGTCCAACAGGCCACAGGCCGCATATCACCCACAGGTCCCACAAGTGCCCACGTCCACAGATCCCACATGCCCGACAGGTC